ATGACAGAGAAACAGTCCAGCCAAGTTCAGTTCTTTTATTGCTTACACCATATTGTCAGAATCTTGCCAGACTAAATCTGTACTACTCTGACCTAGTGGATATACCCTGGGAGATTCTAGGGAGCGGCTATCCCAAATCTCTTCCTCTTCCCATGATCCAACTCTGGACTGTGTTGTCTCTTGTCTTGCACCCCTTCCTAGAATGTGCTCCCTCCTTCCTGAAAACCTGCTGCATTCCTGTAGTCGATCAGCTCAAAGTGCTATACATAACACCCCTTCCTCCAATCTTCCCCACAACAACAACCCTATGAGGTAGGTTGAGCTGGGAGAGAGGGACTGGTCCAAAGTCTCCCAGGTTGCTCTCATGTTGAAGATGGATTAGAACTTGAGTGTTCACATCTTAGATCAATATCTTCACTACTATGTCACCCTGACTCTTCTGCTTGGAGCAGGACTTGCCCAAAGTCTCCCAGGGTGCTTTCATGGCTAAGGGAGGACTAGAACCTGGGTCTCCCCAACCCTAGTCCAGCACCTTTACCCATACATCATGCTGGCTCTTGGACTAAGAGAGAAGACCTGGCCCCAGGTTATTCAGTGAGCTTCCATGGCTGAAGTTAAACTAGAATTTGAGTCTCCCTAATGTTGGTCCAATTTATAGTTCAGTTTCTGTTGTCTACATAAGCATTTTCTGCTGTTTATTTTAATTCACAATCTCTAGTAACTTTGAAAGATGTACATTTAAAATAGCTAAATTGTATTAACATGTATCCTAATGTGATTTAGTTGTTAAGATAGTAGTTCCTACATTTAAATTTTTTTTTTTAATTTTTTGATATTGTATTTTAATAACTTTTTTATCTTTTACAATTAAGGTTTTTATCTCTTTGTTATTTTATTTAATTGTTGTACTCTGCCCAGAGTCGCTTTGCGTGAGATGGGCGACTATGTAAATGTAATAAATAAATACATAAATAAATAAATTTTGCAGTAATTCAACCCACTAAAATAATAAATGAACTTGCGCGAACTCCTCCCTCCATGCATGAAACTAATGATTTCATTGGGGTTAGGGCTGAGAAAGAAACAAATTTACCACTTTAGTAACTAAAATATAACCTATCTATCACAGAAGTTCTCAAAAATGGCTTGCACGGGCAAAGCAAGAATGCTGCTAAAATTCACTCCCACTTTACCTCAACAACCCCACAGCTCACTGGCCTAGACAAAAGGGAGTATCAACCCCAGAGTGATTTTTAATGATATTCCTACTTTGCTTCTACAAACCTAATCAGGTTTTTTAAAAATGATGATCTCAATTGCTTGTGATTTCTGTGGTTAAGATCGTAGATTAAGGTTGTGACTCCTGCAATTAAGGCTGTAATTTGGCTATCAGCCAGGGAGCCCTCCAAATTGCTTGTGACACCTATAGTTAAGGTTGTGGACTAATACCGAGGATCTCCAGGTGCATTGTACTCTCAGCCTTTGAGACTCACTGAAGACTTTGTACCTAATGCTTCTTCACATCTAACCCACCTTATAAGGCTGGGGGGGGGGGGGAAAAAAGAAAACAAAACCCAAAATAAGAAACCTTGCGCCCCTAAAGGGGGGGCAGGATAACAATAGATCAATAAATTTTATTAATTAAAGTAATAAAACAAACCCAAAACTCAGCTTCTAATTCAGTGCAGTTTCAGATCTCGACATTTACCAACACTTCTCTAGTTTTTGCACTTCAGCCTTTTTAGATTATCCTAAAATGACCTAAGCTACGTGCAATAACCTCTTTACTGTTCTCTAAGGACATAT